TTTGCCCTGCCTTGCCTAACAAAAACTTACTCCAGGGGACAGAATGTAACCACAACTGTTAAACTCCAGCAGTGGAAAAAAAATAAAATCTCAACAAGTAATTTTTTCTTAAAATAAGTGCATTTTTTCTTGAATTGAGGAGGTAAGAGTGAAACACTGGAAAATGACAATTTACATTCAAAATAAGTAAAAAAAAAATTACATTGTCTTATTTCAAGTGCATATAATCTAATTATCCTATTTTAAGAGTAGAAATACTCATTTCATTCTCAGATCATCTTATTTTTCTATTCAATTTAGGGGTGAATACACTCAATTTAAGAAATGTTGACTTATTTCTAGGTTGTTTTTGCAGTGAGTGAATACATCGTTGTGGTTTATTATCAATTTTTACTCTTGATAACTTAAAGCAAAATCCAACACCCACTGCAGTCATGTGACATATTGGGTTTGTGTTTTTTTTAAGACTATCTCATTCAAAGCAAACACCATAGAAAAGTATTTAAAATCACTTTAAGTGATAATGATACTGCATTGGCTTTACTTTAATGATCCACACTGCAAAAATGATCTCAAAATGAGTAAAAATGTCTTAAATTAAGGGTATTTACCCTTAATTTGAGCAGGTAAATAAGATGATTTGCCAATGGGATGAGTATTTTACTCTTAAAATAAGGTATCTAGATAAAATGCACTTGAAATAAGAAAATATAATTGTTTTTTCTTATTTTAAGCGTAAATTGTCTTGTTCCATTGGCAAAATGTCTCACTTAAATCCTTAATTCAAGAAAAAATGCACTTATTTAAAGAAGAAATGACTTATTTAGATTTCATTTTTTTGCAGTGCATTAATGTTTGGTTGGACAATGTTTGCTATGATGCCCCTCAATAAAAACATGTTCAACTAACTGCCTTCTGGAGTTAGAGTCTAATTCATCTACACAGAAATGCAGCTGATCTGCATTTATGTGTAAAATATATTCTTACTAGGAATAAATGGGTCTGGGTTATGCCTGCTGTGAAGCAGCATGTCCAGTACTCACTAATAAAGCTGCATATTTCTTGGAAGTTTGAATATAAATCCGACTCTACGTCGTCGTCCAGCGGGATGTCGAGGGTTGTGTGGGTCCCACTTAGAGACCTGAAAATTAACACATATATAAACACAACATATAAAGAAACTTGGAAAATGTCTTTTAGTTCGGATCTTGTCTTACTCTACAGAGTCAGTCGGAGTAAAGTGTGAGATGTTGACCGTAGCGCTGATTTTCAGGTCCTTCAGGGTATTTGGATCCTGCCATTGGTTCTGGTCCCCCATATACAGCAGTCCAGCTATAATTTCCACTGGATAAATCTTGAAGTTTTCCAGCTCCTTAAATTAGTTAAAAAATATATTCAACTTTAATAGGCTGGCTGTTATTATCCTTCACAATAAAACTTACCAAGAGAGCGAATACTGACAGAAAATAAACCACTACCTTTAACCCCTTAAGCCCAGAGGGTCTTAGGAGCAAATTCAATCTGAATTTAGATATGTGAATTAAAGCAACATCTCCCAAAATATAAATTGGAAATACAATTGTTTGTATTTGTGTAATAGAAAGGCATTGAGGAATATTTTTCAGGTGGAACCACTATTTTAAATGTCACCATGTCTGATTTATAGGTGATTAAACAAAGAAAAAATGAAACATATTAAACCTCGCATAATTATTTTCCAAACACTGCAAAACTCCATTTCAAACTCTGGATGAACCCTCAGACTTTATAGATCCACATCTTGACTATAACTCAAGCAAATTTGGACTGAATAAGTTGAAGCATGTTTGTTCCACAGAGGTTTTAGTGAGCAGTCTGCTAGGAGAAAACATGACTTTGACACAATGCCAAAAGTACAAAAATGCATTTTTCTACTTATAAAACAGAATCTGGTCAGACAAATATGCTGATTTCCATTATTGGAGACCTTCTGCATAAGACAAAGCCTTTGCTCCTAAGATTTAGCCGTTGTTTCTTTGAAATTTACCAATAATATCAGCAAACTGAATAGAAAATAAGAACAACAGGGCAAGCTTAGGTGACGCACATCACCTGAAATTGTCGCACAATGACCTGTGACCCCTCCTTTGAAAGGTCTGAGCCTCTAGTTTCCAATGATGACAGCCATTAGGGGGTGTGGCTAAAAACGAATACCTGCTGTTGCATTACTCCCACAGGGGCAGACACGTCCGGTGGAATTTTAAATCTCATTTTATTTGTTTACACAGATATAGAAACAAAAAGTACTTGTGAAAAATTATTTTGAAACATGTTTTAGAAAGTTATGTGGATGAAACATCATGTGACGGTGTTTTGGCCTTTTTTTATAAATAGATAAACTGTCACAGTCTTGGTTTTGTTATGTTTATTTAGAGTATTCAGTCTTACTTTTCTCCTTGTTTTAGTGTCTAATTATTATTTTGTTGTTTTCTTGTTAGTTCCTGTCCTCCAGGTTTTCCATTTGTTGTCCTCTGCTGC